TTTATTTATTTATTGCATTTGATTCGTACAGCAATTTTTAAAATGAAAATACCCAATATGTACCACAAAAAACACAATTCATATTTTGTACATATAAAAAATTTAATTATTAGTCAAAGTAATATTTTAAAAAAATGTTATTTAAAACAAATACATCGCTTAAAAATCAAAATCTGAAGAAAAGTTACGTCAAACATGGCAATATGGTATGATAGCAGGAAGTAGTTCCAATTACGACATGAAAATAATTTAGTATATCATTTCAAGCTTATTGTCACATACCTCAGACTTTTACAAAGGTTAGTAAATAGTGACCTATACAGTAAAGTAACTTGAAGAAACAATATATAATGTAGTATTTTGACACAATCTTTCGAGTTCCAATTCTTTGGCTGCTACGTTTGTCACGCGTTTTAAGGGAACTGGTCGTTAAACTACGCATGCGCGCGATTTGTGTTGAAAAACAGTGATTTACTCATTACCTAATGCGCTCTACCTAGTGACCACGTTCTTCCATAAACTTGAAAAATCCTACAATAAACGTATTGATATCAAAACGACCAAACTAGATATTTTGTTCTGCTCCAACAGTCTAGCAGCTAGAGAAATCGAAACTATTAATAGACGGTAAGACGCAATGGCTGTTCAGATGTTGTTGTGAGCGAGACAGCAACGGACTTCATTTTCCCCCGAAAAACAAATCTCGTAGGTCTCGCTCTCATTGCGATTTCGGCGGCCATTCCGTCTAAGGCCTATTCAGGGCTATCAGTAACCCGGTCAGCTCAACATCAGGTCACGTGCTACGAATATGCAAATGAGTTGTTTACATTCTAGACGGTGTCCCTTATCCTACCCCTTTCCTGGATAATATTATATAAATTAAGAGATTGTTCCAACTCGGTTGGTAATTCGTATAAATAAGGTCAGTGCCACTCGTCGACATGACACAGTCCCGCTGTGCATGTACCACTTCCAATGTGAGTCAGTTCCAGTCTGTTCATCCGTCCGTCCGTCCGTCCGTCCGTCCGTCCGCCCGCCCGTCTTTGAGATAAGCCAAATGCACATTTGCAATGTGACAAACTTAACGTTATATATTAACTAATTAATGATATGTTAACAAAGATCAATTATCCAATTGTTTGAGAATATTCGTGAGTTCATCTCCAAAAAAAAAAAAAAAACGCAATGTAATAACAGACTTATCAAGAGAATCATCATGGGTAATGTTTTTTATTTAATGAGGCTCTCAAAACACTATCAGGGTCGAATTTAAACTTTTCACCACCAGACTTTCTCGCACAAATTTTTCTGCACTTTTTTTATGTTCTTCAATATTTCTGGAAATGACGAATGTTAGAGCCAGCAGACAAAAATGTTCATTTTTTACTCAAAAAGTTTGGCTATTTTTGTCCCAGTCTTCTGAAGGAAAGCGCAGACAATAAACAGGATTCTTTTGTAAATTCGGGAAGAAAAGAGGGGACTGGTGGTGAAAAGGCTAAGCTGCCTTCGTAATTATGCATAATTTTTAAACTTTATCATACTGATAGTTCATTTCAAAATCTGCTTGTTTTTATAAAATAATTTAATTTTTGACAAGATTGTTTTAGTGGAATGTTGCAGAGAATGAATCGACTTGCTGGCAATGATAAAATGGCGCTAAATTATTTTGATACGA